TTACTACACAACCACCAATCTCCTCCTCCCTTACTACACAACCACCAATCTCCTCCTCCCCTTACTACACAACCACCAATCTCCTCCTCCCCTTACTACACAACCACCAATCTCCTCCTCCCCTTACTCACAAACACCAATCTCCTCCTCCCTTACTACACAAACACCAATCTCCTCCTCCCCTTACTACACCCCAACCCAAACTCCTCCTCTCCTCACAAGCACCTATCTCCCCTCCCCTCACAACCACCAATCTCCTCCCTCACCACACAACCATCATCTCCTCCTCCCCTCACCACACAACGCCAATCTCCTCCTCCCCTCGCCACAACCGCCAAACCTCTCCTCCCCTCACCTCAACAAACCACCAATCCTCCCCTCACCTCACAACCACCAATCTCCTCCCCTCCCACACAACTACCAATCTCCTACCCTCACCCCCAACCGCCAATCTCCTCACCTCACCAAAAACCACCAATCTCCTCCTCCCCTCACCTCACAACCACCAATCTCCTCCCCTCACCACACAACTACCAATCTCCTACCCTCACCCACAACCGCCAATCACCTCCACCTCACCACAACCACCAATCTCCTCCTCCCCTCACTACACAACCACCAATTCTCCACCCCCCCTCACTACACAACCCTCAATTCCTCCCCTTACTACACAACCACCAATCTCCTCCTCCCCTTTCTACCAACCACCAATCTCCTCCTCCCCTTACTACACAACCCACCAATCTCCTCCTCCCCTTACTACACAACCACCAATCTCCTCCTCCCCTTACTACACAACCACCAATCTCCTCTCCCCTTACTACACAACCACTTATCTCCTCCTCCCCTTACTTCACAACCACTTATCTCCTCTCCCCCTTACACACAACCACCAATCTCTCCTCCCCTTACTACACAACCACCAATCTCCTCCTCCCTTACTACACAACCACCAATCTCCTCCTCCCCCCACCCCCCAACCACCAATCTCCTCCTCCCCTCACCCACAACCACCAATCTCCTCCTCCCCTCACCCCACAACCACCAAACTCCTCCTCCCTCACCCCACAACCACCAATCTCCCCCTCCCCTCACACCCCACAACCGCCAATCTCCTCCTCCCCTCACCCACAAACCGCCAATCTCCTCCTCCCCTCACCCACAACCGCCAATCTCCTCCTCCCCTCCACCACACAACCGCCAATCTCCTCCTCCCTCACCACACAACCGCCAATCTCCTCCTCCCCTCACCACACAACAACCGCCAATCTCCTCTTCCCCTCACCACACAACCGCCAATCTCCTCCTCCCCTCACCACACAACCGCCAATTTCCTCCTCCCCTCACCCCACAACCGCCATCTCCTCCTCCCCTCACCACACAACCGCCAATCTCCTCCTCCCCTCACCAACAACCGCCAATCTCCTCCTCCCCCTCACCACACAACCGCCAATCTCCTCCTCCCCTCACCACACAACCGCCAATCTCCTCCTCCCCTCACCACACAACCGCCAATCTCCTCCTCCCCTCACCACACAACCGCCAATCTCCTCCTCCCTCACCACACAACCGCCAATCTCCTCCTCCCCTCACCACACAACCGCCAATCTCCTCCTCCCTCACCACACAACCGCCAATCTCCTCCTCCCTCACCACACAACCGCCAATCTCCTCCTCCCCTCACCACACAAACCGCCAATCTCCTCCTCCCCTCACCACACAACCGCCAATCCCCCTCCTCCCCTCACCAACACAACCGCCAATCTCCTCCTCCCTCACCACACAACCGCCAATCTCCTCCTCCCTCACCACACAACCGCCAATCTCCTCCTCCCTCACCACACAACCGCCAATCTCCTCCTCCCCTCACCACACAACCACCAATCTCCTCCTCCCCCTCCCTCACAACCACCAATCTAATCCCTCACCACACAACCACCAATCTAATCCTGCCCTCACCACAGAACCACCAATCAAATCCTGCCCTAACCCACCCACCACCAATCTCCTCCTCCCCTCACCCACAACCACCAATCTCCTCCTCCCCTCACCCACAACCACCAATCTCCTCCCTCCCTCACCCCACAACCCCAATCTCCTCCTCCCCTCACCACACAACCACCAATCTCCTCCTCCCCTCACCACACAACCACCAATCTCCTCCTCCCCTCACCACACAACCACCAATCTCCTCCTCCCCTCACCAACAACCACCAATCTCCCCTCCCTCACCACACAACCACCAATCTCCCCTCCCCTCACCACAAACCACCAATCTCCTCCTCCCTCACCACACAACCACCAATCTCCTCCTCCCTCACCACACAACCACCAATCTCCTCCCCCTCTCACCACACAACCACCAATCTCCTCCTCCCCCTCACCACACAACACCAATCTCCTCCTCCCCTCACCCCACAACCACCAATCTAATCCCCCTCTCACCCACACAACCACCAATCTCCTCCCCCTCACCACACAACCACCAATCTCCTCCCCTCACAACCACCAATCTCCTCCTCCCCTCACAACCACCAATCTCCTCCCCTCACTACACAACCACCAATCTCCCCCCTCACAACACAACCACCAATCTCCTCTCTCCCTCACCACACAACCACCAATCTCCTCCTCCTCACCACACAACCACCAATCCTCCTCCTCACCACACAACCACCAATCTCCTCCTCCCTCACCACACAACCACCAATCTCCTCCTCCCCTCACCACACAACCACCAATCTCCTCCTCCCCTCACCCCCACGACCACCAATCTCCTCCTCCCCTCACCACACGACCACCAATCTCCTCCTCCCCTCACCACACGACCACCAATCTCCTCCTCCCCTCACCACACAACCACCAATCTCCTCCTCCCCCTCACCACACAACCACCAATCTCCTCCTCCCCTCACCACACAAACCACCATATCTCCTCCTCCCTCACGACCACCCAATCTCCTCCTCCCCTCACCACACAACCACCAATCTCCTCCTCCCCTCACCCCACGACCACCAATCCTCCTCTACCCCACGACCACCAATCTCCTCCTCCCCTCACCACACAACCACCAATCCTCCTCCACTCACCCCCCAACCACCAATTCTCCTCCCCTCACTCCACAACCACCAATCTCCTCCCTCCCCCACAACCACCAATCCCTCCTCCCCTCACCCCACAACCACCAATCTCCTCCTCCCCTCACCCCACAACCACCAATCTCCTCCTCCCCTCACCCACAACCACCAATCTCCTCCTCCCTCACCCACAACCACCAATCTCCTCCCCTCACCCACAACCACCAATCTCCTCCTCCCCTCACCCCACAACCACCAATCTCCTCCTCCCCTCACCCCACAACCACCAATCTCCTCCCCTCACCCCACAACCACCAATCTCCTCCTCCCCTCACCCCACAACCACCAATCTCCTCCTCCCCCCACCCCACAACACCAATCTCCTCTACCACTCACCACAACCACCAATCTCCTCCTCCCTCACCCACAACCACCAATCTCCTCCTCCCCTCACCACACAACACCAATCTCCTCCTCCCATCACCACACAACCACCAATCCTCCTCTCCTCACCCCCACAACCACCAATCTCCTCCTCCACTCACCACAACCACAATCTCCTCCTCCCTCACCACAACCACCAATCTCCTCCTCCCCTCACCACAACCACCAATCTCCTCCTCCCCTCACCACAACCACCAATCTCCTCCTCCCCTCACCACAACCACCAATCTCCTCCTCCCCTCACCACACAACAACCAATCTCCTCCCCTCACCACAACCGCCAATCTTCTCTCCCCCTCACCACACAACCGCCAATCTTCTCTTCCCCTCACCACACAACCGCCAATCTTTTCTCCCCACAACCACTTTCCCCCAACGCCAATCTTTTTCCCCACACCACACAACCGACAATCTTTTTCCCCTCACCACACAACCGCCAATCTTTTTCCCCTCACCACACTACCGCCAATCTTTTCCCCTCACCACATACCGCCAATCTTTTCCCTCACACACACCGCCAATCTTTTTCCCCCTCTTTTCCACACTCCCAATCTTTTCCCCTCACCACAATACCGCCAATCTTTTCCCCTCACCACACAACCGCCAATCTTTTTCCCCTCACCACACAACCGCCAATCTTTTTTCCCCTCACCACACTACCGCCAATCTTTTCCCCCCACCACACAACCGCAAGTCTCCTCCCCTCACCACACAACCACGAATCTCCTTCTCCCCTCAGTACATAACCACCAATCTCCTCCCTCCAATAAACTACCAATCCCCACCAAACATCATTAGACAGGATCCATACACAGCTTTAAGAGCCGATATGATGGGGTTCACAAAGCGAGGAGTGATCCTAGCAGTGGCGAGCCGAGAGAAGAGTCCAGGAGCCGAGACTCGACCCCTGCCACTATAAAAAAGGTTAACACACCCCACACCACCACACCCCCTTACCACATCTACAACCCCCCTCAACATATTTAAATAATGTATTACATTACAAAATTCAACCTTAACATGTCAACATTTAAATTAACATAAGCAACATTATTTAATCACAAAACGAGTTGCCAGACATGACATATAAACTGAAGACACAGAGTAGTGTTGTTCTGTAGGTATTGTAGCTGCCACAGCCATGAAGATCCCTTAACAGCATCACAAGTATGTAATATAATCAATGATACGCTTGACAGATTAACAGCTGGGAGGTAGCAGACGAATTCTCCATAGGAATGCCAAGCAGACGACAATGTCTCTAACTCTTCTCTTGTTGTTCTACGCAGGTGAATGTAAATAAATACGCATATGATGCCTCCTGCTGTAGTCACCGCATCTCCCCGTAGCAGCATCCGCAGCTTAACCAGATGACCAACCAAAATACAACCCGTTAACTGACGGAGCTGACGTTTTACCGCCATTGATATACGAACCCTATTCTTTTCCTTCCAACACAAAACGCTATTTATACTTACTTTTGATGACCCTATCCGTCGTAGACACCTTGCTGGTGTTGTTGGCGTTAGTACTCATTTTTACACTAATATATAATCCTCTTAGTCACCCACATACAGAGATGGCTTGGATTCAAGCCGATCGTCACCACACTGAACTGAACTTGCACCAAAATGGCGAAAACAGCTCTATCAGTGGGTGTGGGATGCGCAGGCGCGGCGCTGGCCAATCAATGCAGGTATGGCGTCACGTGACCCTCCCATCCTCTGCCCATGCGCGCCACACTCAAACACTAACCAATCTTTAAAACCATGGCTGCTCCCCTCATTTAAGGCTTGCTCGCAGCGTATATGCACCCAGAGGAGTGTATGTTAGTGTATATACACCGGGAGTGTGTGTGTCCTGCCTGTACATACACCAGGACAACACAGGGTAGTGAACACAATGTTGCAAGACCTTCTTTAGTTGCAGAACCCCTTCTTATACTCACCTTATTTTGATGGCAGGGTGTCGAGGCACAGCTCCTGGCCCTGTCTATTTGCTAGTGGGCTCACTCTCCTGGCTGCATGAGCCCTGTCATACCCATTCCTAAAACTACAGTATGAGTGAACCTCACCTCAACCTCTGCACTCTCTATGTCCTTCCACTTCCTGTCCACTCTTAGGCTGAAGAAGTACCTCCTAACATCACTGTGACTCTTCTGTGCTCTTACCTTCCAGCTGTGCCTTTGTGTACCTGAGATCCGCCTGTGAACCCATAAACCAGCTCAAAAGGGTTCAAAAGTACCTCATCAATGAACCTACAGAGAGGGAGGACAGTAATTTTTTCTATAGTCAGTATTCGTGTTATATACAACTATTTTCTTTCCTCTTTTTAATATTTATGTAATTCAAAGACTATATTTTATTTCTATTATATTTCTTTTTATCGCAATTCATTTTTTAAACATTCGATTTATTCAGTCCATTTTTGTTGTTGTTCGTAATCATGACTGTTTTTTTGTGTCTAATATACTGCTGATGGGCATTACAAGGTTTCCCAATGGAAATAAATCACCTTTTTTTTTAAATTTTGTAGGGTTATACTAGATAATTTACACATATGTTAGTATGCAAGACCATTGTAATCATTGAAAAAATAGAGTAATTGTTTCTAAATTTACTTAAAATGGCTCCTTTTTTTCATTTAAGGTTTGTTTGCAGCGTATATGCATCTAGACGTGTGTATGTTAGTGAATATACACCAGGGTTTGTCTGTCTGTGTATATATATATATATATACACCAGGAGAACGCTAACCAGTGTCTGCTTCCATTATTTAAAGTTTGCTTGCAGCATATACACACCGAGAGATCTGTGTCTGCTTGTATGTGCACCGGGAGGATGTCTACGTGTACATGCACCCGAAGGTAACCTGTAAACGACTTTAGGGGGTCACCGCCCCCCGGGGTCCAGCCCCAAGCCAGACATCCGGATTGTCGGCCTGATGAACCAGGCTCTCGGTTATGGCCTCAAGCCTTCCAGTCTATGAACCACAGCCCGGCTGATCAGGAACTGCCGCGAGGAACTTATCTAGGTGCCTCTTGCAGACGGCCAGGGTCCTGTGGGTAAATTTCTATGCGGAAAGACACGTTTGCAGATATTTAACGAGAAACGTTTAGATCCTGGACCCTCGTTCACTGTTACGATACAAAGGATATAAGAAACATGATAAAGGTGCAGAGGACGTGAGCGAACAGAGGTCAGGTTAAAGCATTATCATCAGTCACGTCAGTTAAACCTAAAGGGGTGAGACTAGAACCAAGAGCCAGGCTCATCAGGCCAACCTGGATGTCTGACTTGGGACTGGGCCGCAGGGGCGGTGACCCCTAAAGTCGTTTACAAGTTATCTTCTGGTATATATACAGGCAGACATCTTCCCGGTGTACATGGACGCAGACACATACACAAATAACCCGCACATAAAAGAGAGAAGCTTATGACGACGTTTCGGTCCGACTTGGACCATTGACAAAGTCAATGGCCCAAGTCGGACCGAAACATCGTCGTAAGCTTCTCTCTTTTATGTGCGGGTTATTTGTGTATCGTTCCAGTCACGGTATTGTGCCTTTTTTGTTATTTACGCAGACACAGATCTCCCAGTGAGCATACTCTGCGAACAAACTTTAAATCATTCATCAAACATGTCAGTTATACCTGACGTGACTGATGCTAATGTTTAGCCTGATCTCTCTTCACTCACGTCCTCATGTTTCTTCTTCCCATTGTATTGTAGCAGTGGACGAGGGTCCAGGACCTAAACGTTTCCTATTAAATGTCTACAAACGTGTCAATCCGCAAAGGAAATTACCAACAGATGAGTGGAAGGTCGCCTGACGGCAGTGTTCCGATGTGGGCTGAAGGTTTGAAGATTTTGTAGTTCCCTGCCTTTTATTCAGAGTATTAGGAACTGCGTTCACTGATGCTTACAACCACATTCGTTTGTTCGACTCTTGAGTGCAGGGCTCCATCCTTCTTAAGTGGATGTAACTTGGACCTGACTGGCTTCGGCCAGTAGTAAGTGACTTGGCTAGTAAATGACTTGGCCCTGCCTAGCATGGCCAGTAGGCCTGATGAATTCAGTGCTCCTTCTTAAGTTCTTAGTCTGGTCTCTTTCCAGTTCATTAGGTGGCCTTTGTCATAACTATGGATTATGCAAGCATTGCTTCTTTCAGTATCTCTCATATTGATCAGAGAGAGTGAACACACATAATGAATGTTGCAGAGATGATCGGAGTAATGCTTAAATAACTCACAGGAATGACAAATGCCACCTGTAACAGGGTCTGAATCAATTTTCACTGGATCCGAGTTGAACAGGCGACTGTCTTTGGTAGCATCACTGATCACAATTTCTTTTACTCTTAATCAAAAAGTTAAGTCTCCAAGGACCCCAATGGGTTATCCTAGGTTCTCTACACATATGCTAATATGTATGATAATCTATGTAACTGTATTTATGTATACCAGAATAAACAAAACCTCAGCCCACATAATACTAGACCACACTTGCCCAGGTGCCTACTTACTACAAGACCAACAAAGGAAACATGCCCTTTGTGAAGATTCACCCTGAGGAATTCATTTTTTAATTAAACCACGAGGGGCGTTGACCCCCGAAACCCCTCCAGGTATTGTTCCCACTTGTGATGGGATCAAACTCAGGTCCTTCAAATGCGATCAGAAGGCGCTACCACTTGAATCATAAGTACATAAGTCGTATATATGATAATTGTACACATAAATACAATTACCATACATAGTAACATGTGTGTAAATTACCTCGGATGACTCAAAAAGTCAAAGTGACTTATTCTCATTGGGGTCAATGTATAAACATTGGTTGGTGTATATCTCTAAGGGTATATACATTAAAGGATGTGTATTTTTCAGTGTACAAACATCGAGAGGTGTATGCCTCAGTGTATATTCATGGGTGTATATATCTCAGTATATAATCGACAACAGATTATCTAAATTTATATACACCTACCGGGGATTTGAACCTTACCCATCCAATGACTTATATACACACATACCTGCACTACATAAATTTATATATTGCAATATATGCTCTATGAGGGTTTAGCGCCTTGTTGTGAATATAATGATTAGTGAATCACTGTACAAACCCGCTTATTAACATATATAAAGTCTGACAACTTGCCACAGTATGTATTGCGCACTAGTCATTTCTAAAGTTATTAAATTTTATAAACTAGTATATCATTCCCTATTAAAACAATCTGGATTATTTAATAAGAAATTTCATGCCAGACATAATATAACAGTTGTTAATACAGAAAAAAATTCAAGGCTGATTGTAAACAAACCCTCTGACACCAGAATACAAAAAGAATCCTGCCAACAGAATTTAGCTGTTGTTGGATATTTGAGCTGGTTTTGGTGACGGATGGAGATCATCTTCTGCACTGGGAGAAGGTGATATATTCTCAAAATTCTTTTTTTTTTAGGGATAAAATTGTTTTATTTTCCGTTTATTTAAATATGTATTTTTTACGGTTTTGAGAAGAAGCCGGTCATTGAGTCTAGTGGGGATGTGGGTTCGTCACTGTCCAGTGTCACTAGCGAGGTCCTGGTCATGAGCATTTTTCCCCTCTCTTTTTTCCTATTCATCGAAGTGTGCTTCTTTTTTATTTTATTTCAGCATTTCAGCTTGAGACTGCAGGCAGTGAGGTTCACGACGTCTCAGTCATGAGTAGCCTTTAAATACAACAACAACAACAATAAGCCGTCCTGTTAACTTAAGATTTTTATTTTTATTTTTTCATAATTTTACAAAACTCGGACAGTGAATGAGACATCATTGGGCCAAGCTTTTCCAGCCCCTAAAGCTTATAAGCTTTTGTCGAGTTGCTACGATAGTTGATAGCTACTGAAGCTTCTACAAGCAAGATGTTTCTACGAGCGTGTTGTAAGCCGAGGTTACTATCTTTAATTAAGGATTTTTTTATTATTACTGTAGCTGTATTTTTCTTGACACCGATGAGGGGGGCTTTTGAGCCAAGGAAATGGATCTGACCTTCCCTTCTTTGCATCGAACCTAATTAATTTCCATTCCCCAAGATACTGTGACCTCAGTGGGTTTAGCACTCCCCCATAGCCCCTGTGGTTTAGCGCTTCTTTTTTATAATAATTATAATTAGCACTCCCCTGAATAAATAATAATATAATAATAATAATAATAATAGTAATAAAAAAGATATATTGATGTTTGTGTCTGGCTAGTCTGATATGTAACTAATTTATTTTTGATCGGAAGTGGTAAACCCATAAGGGTCATATAGTATCTGGGGAGTCGGAGTCACTCAGGTTCGGTCCAAGGAAGGGGAGGTTAAGTTCAGCTCCTTGGATCAAGAGCCCCTCACAGCAGCAAGGCACCACCATTGAGGGCATGTGCAGTTAAAGAATATAAAAACTCTAACTCGTATAAATTACTTAAGTTGAAATGTCTGAGACACAATTTGGCCACTGCGAACTTTATTCCCAGGTGACTTATTTTATGTAAATTCTCCAGTATTAAGTGTGCTGTGCAATGGAGATGTGTATATATATATGTAATGCCCATGGGAAAGCCCTTTTTCTTTAAGATAACCTAACTTAATGTTACTTGTCCTAACCTAACTGGCAGTTTTATAGCTGCTTAGGGTTAGGTTATTTTAGGTTGGGTTATTTTATTAAACTTAACAAAATAAAGCTTCTTATATGTTTTAAATGTAACTTGACTCCATCACGTAACCCATTTAGAAAAAAATGTACATTATAAATGATATTGTTTTTTCCTATTACCATCTAGATAAATAATTTTCACAACTTATTTGTTATAAGAAGTGTACATAATGATACACAAAATTTTGGGGTAATGGCCCCTTGATGCTTGTGAAGGCTCTTGATCCAGGGACTTAAAGCTACCATCCACTTCTTCAAAGATCTGCCCTCTATTAATTTGGATCTTCCTTTCACTTCTTTGGATCTACCCTCCACTTCTTTGGATATACTTTACACTTCTTTGGATCTACCTTCTATTTTTTTGGCTCTGCCCTCCACTTCTTTGGATCTACCCTCCCCTTCTTTGGATCTACCCTCCACTTCTTTGAATCTACCCTCCATTTCTTTAGATCTACTTTAGATCTATCCACTTCTTTGGATCTACCCTCCACTTTTTTGGATGTACCCTCCACTTTTTGGATGTACCCTCCCCTTCTTTTGATCTACCCTCCCCTTCTTTTGATCTACCCTCCCCTTCTTTGGATCTACCCTCCACTTCTTTGGATCTACCCTCCACTTCTTTGGATCTACCCTCCACTTCTTTGGATCTACCCTCCACTTCTTTGATCTACCCTCCCATTCTTTGGATCTACCCTCCCCTTCTTTGGATCTACCCTCCACTTTTTGGATCTACCCTCCCATTCTTTGGACCCACCCATTCTTAGGATCTACCCTCCCCTTCTTTGGATCTACCCTCCACTTCTTTGGATCTACCCTCCACTTCTTTGGATCTACCCTCCACTTCTTTGGACTTAAAAGTTTTAGGGCTTCCCTTAAATATAATAATGATTTGGTGGATGACAAGCACTGCAGGCTCTTGCTATCCATTAGTCATTGCAATGAAATCTGATCTCAAATCATAAATAATCCACACTTAGGAGAGGAAACTTAAGATAACATTTTGGTCCATCCTGAACCATTGTCAAGTCACAGTTGAGTGTCCAGGACAGATGAAAATGTCATCTTAAGTTTTCTATCCTAAAGTGTGGGTTTTTTGTGATTTTTTTCATTCATAGTATTGTGACCTTTTATTCTTTATTGTTTATCTTATACCTATTTTCTGTATTTCAGGATTACAAGGAACCGTTTTGTTGTTATATTTTTAACTTGTGTGATAATAGCAAATGAATGTATCTTCTATGCTTTCACGGCCACTAATTGGCCAGTCATCACTAACAACAGTGAAGACAGTGTTCGGGTATTAATAGCAGCAGATCCTCAAATTTTGAGTGCTCAGACAGAGCCATTTTACCCATTTAGCATACTTACATCTTGGGATGCTAACAGGTACAGTATATATAATATTCCTTAACTTTATTGAGTATCTTATGTTAAATCTACATGATTTATTTTTTGAGCCCATAACAAGTGTGCGTTCAAAACCATTGAATTTTTTTTTGTATATCATACATGCAAAGCCTAAATAAAAACTTACGTAACACAGAATGCTGACTTTTTATGGCATTTATTTTCATAAATGTTCTGTAATGTTTTACAATATATGGCAGATACAGTACATAATTATGAAATGTAATGGATCATACTCTGAGTTATTGAACCGCTTTCAGATTTATTAGTCGTGGATTTCACTTGGCACTGTGGAGGAGCAAGCCAGATATTGTTGTATTTTTAGGTGATCTTCTCAATGATGGAAGTATTGCTAGTGACTTTGACTTTTCTTCATTAGTTCAACACTTCAGAAATCTAATGTACATTCCAGACTATGTGAAGGTAACTATTTCTTTCTATTTTCAGTTGTAATTTTTAAAAATACAACATGTTTGTTTATTTTTGTTATTCCTAGTTTTGTCAATCACTCAGTTTCAATTACAGTAGAATACTGTAATTTATTTCTTTTCAATACACTAGTTTTGATTATCTAAAGAACTAATTCAGTTTTAACATGTAAGGAGGTAGGGCACAGTATATATTTTAGTGACTCTATCTGTTTTCCTCAATACCCATTCTCTGTGTACTGTACACAAACCATACCCCGGCCGGGATTGAACCTGCGGTCAAAACAGTTGCATTTACTAATGCAGTGGGAACTATTTCAGCCTTTTACTGATGTTAAACTAAAAAACTGGTGAACTGTACAGATAAATATTTCATTGTCACATAGGTATCACACATTAAATAATAAGAAATGTAAATAGCCACGGAAAAGTTTTGTAATGCATAGTTATTTCTTGAATAAAAACTCCATAAAATATATTTTTATTGATTATGAAACTTTTTGGTTCTAAAAAATTAGCAATTCTTCATTAAGAAAATTTCCAGAACCTAGGAAAAACAATGCCACAAACACGAGTGTGAGAAAGGTAATATGCATGAAGGGATTTAGGGAAACTGGTTAGCTGGGCTTGAGTCCTGGAGTGGGAAGTACAGTGCTTATATTCTGAAGGAGGGGTGGGGATATTTGCAATTTTGAGCTGGAGTATTGGCACCCTTCTGGTAAGACAGTGATGGAGTGAATAATGGCAAAAGTGCTTCTTCTTTTTTGGGTCACCCTGCCTTGGTGGGAGACAACCGGTTTGTTGAAAAAAAAAAATAATAACAATAATAATACGCACTGGTCAAAGGGTTAAGAGGTGATCACTCTAGTTCCTAAAGGGGACATAAAAGTAATACACAATATTTTTCTTTAGCATACTATATTTGTGCCTGGTGACAATGATATTGGTGGAGAGGGATCTGACCAAGTGACTCCACATAAAATTCAGAGGTTTAATTCAATCTTCAACCAGTCAACTACTCTACAGTACAAATTCATTGACTTCATTCAGGTAAGTTATTTATAATTAATTTTTGATTGATGATGCTAATTTCTTATCCTCTTCAAACTCTGGTGTTCATTAATTACAGTATAGTAGAACCCCATATTCATTGATTCAATATCCGTGGTTTTGGTTATCCACAGTTTACTGTGGCCCAAAATACCTCTTAATTTTGCATAATGATGGCCCCAGACTGCAGAATATGAAAAGCTGGCAGTTCTTTAAAGGTTAAGAGAAGTTGTGAAGTGCTTCCTATTAGTGAAAATGTGATAATTCTCCATTTATTGTGCATAATTTATCAATTAAACTTTATAATAGGTATGTATAGAACTTGTATAGGGTTTGTTACTATTCATGGTTTCGGTATCCATGGCAGGTCCTTGGAACGTATCCCCTGTGGATATGGGGATCTTACTGTATTAATAAAAGATGCAGATCAGTTAAGCATCTGTTAAATGGTTAAAACAGACGTACAGCAAAAGACCTTTATTAGTACAATATCTCACCTATAGAAGGCTTAATCAAGCACTGCATGTTGAATATCAAAACTATCGACTTACTATATACAGTAAGTCCTCAGTGTTATTGATAGGTTCTTGGAAACTGTGATGTGAAACAACCCATAATAAAACAACACCTTGCTGTCCATCATTAAACCTCTTTAAAACTTCTAGTTTTGTTTCTAATGTCACACTTTTTCTCTATTTTTTTTCTGGGGTGGGGAGGGGAGCCACAGACATCAGGGTGCACAGTGCAGCTTTAGTACTCATTGCAACAGCTAAAATTGTAAGGAACACCACCTACCACCACCACACAGTTCAACAGCAAACAATAATAAATATGGCAAACTCACTGAGCACTTTCGTACTGCATCATTTATTGTCATGCATATGTATGATTATCGTATACTTTACAAATTTTTATTTTACTGTCCCAACTCAGACAGTGGCCCTGGCTTGGAATCATTTTTTTTTCTCATCAATGTTATAATGAAACAATGTTATTCAAGGACTTACTGTATTTAGTGCTGAGAAGTGGTGGAGCCAGATTACACAACTGAAATTCTTTTGCAGTATGTAGTTTTAACCACTTGTTAGTTATACCATGCTTCAGACTGTCTGTTGAGTTTATAAAACAAAATCTGTGAATGACCACTTGTGCGTACTGCCAGGTAGACATGAATAATGAGAATACGAATAAGTTACTAGGATGCACTGAATTATCATACTGTTATATAAATAATATGTTTCTATTTATATTTTAAGCTGGTATCCTTTCCTTTTTTGTTTCTTGCCTGCGATTTTGCAGGTTCAAGTGTTGGATAATTTCAACATTAATACCAGAACTTTGCCCTATGAGGACGGAAGGATACGCATACTGCTGTCACACATACCTCTCTTGCCAGTTACAAGGAAGAAAATAAAGGAGGTACAGTATATGATTTTACATTCATTAATTTTTAAGCAGAATTTTTGTAAAATAATACTTTACTGTATATTTTAAATATACTGTAATTTTGGGGGATAATTTGAATACTTTATTTGTTTGGTATTTATTAAGGCTTTATTAATTTTTAACTACAGTACTGTTAAATATTTACACTTAACACATTTATCTGTATTATATTTGCCTAGTAGCTATGGTAATTATAATTCCAGCTTTTGTTTTAGGATTTATGGCATGATTGAAAATGTTGTGATGTTACAATGTGGTCTTATACATCTCTCAGACCATAGCCAAAATCTTTTATGTTGTTATTTCTACACTGAGTTCAGTGATGATATGATACGATAATTACTCACTGTCAGGTCTGAGAGGATTTACATATTTTAATTATGGATATTTCTTATTCTCACCTCACTCCTAATATATGGCTGTTATGAAAGATTTTTCCAGTATGTATATTTTATCATTCATTAAAATTGGGGTTTATTTTTCTTGGTTTAACCATCCATTTATTATTATAGAACTAACCCCTCATGGGAGGTTGCTTAATGATAGTAAGGGGCTCTTGAGCCAAGTAAGTGGACCTGTCCTTCACATTCCTTGGATTGAATCTGATTGCCTCCCATTCCCCATGTGATGTATGACCCCTATGGGGTCATACATCACATGAGGATGTTGTTTAACCATCTCCCACCAAGGTAGGGTGACCAAAAAAAAAAAAAAAAAAAAAAAAAAAAAAAAACACTTTCACCATTACTCAGTCAATAGCTGTCTTGTCAGAAGTATGCAGATATCACATTTCAAATGACCCACCAAACTGCAACTTAATGATGATGATAATAATAATAATAATAATATTAATAATAATAATAATAATGAACTGCAACACACACTCATCCCTGTTTCCCTTATTCAAGCGTGTGTGTGTGTGTGTGTTTGCATGTGTAATACCCTACATATAGTTACTATGCAGGAATAGAGTTATGCTTGTGGTTTCCTGACTTTAACATTTTTAAATCAGTACTCCTAGTACACCAATAGTTGCAAACAATGATCCCATGAAGTCTTATTTCAATTAATTATTCTGTTTCTAAAAAATAATGTACTAGACATAGCTTTTACACTGCTTCTTTCGTAATTTAAACTTGTGTCCTCTTAACCCTTAAACTGTCCAAACGTAGATCTACGCTTTTTTCAACATTTGAAAGTATGTAAAAAAACGTAGATCTTCTTTTCTTTTTTTTTACATTTGAAAATGTGTAAAAAAAACTTTGATCTTTTTTTTTGTTATATTTGAAAACATGTAAAAAAAGTAGATCTACTTTTGGAGCACTACACATGTGAACGTAAATTTGTTTGGACAGATTAAGGGTTAACATTATTGTTGCCATTTTAAAATCAAATTCCTGTTTTTTTATAGCTTCACATGAACTTATAAGTGGTTATCATATCTCCTCTTCAATTTACCAGTGAAGGCAAGTTTACTGCTTCATCTTTTTTTTTAATACATTAATATTTTTTTAGTTTGAATATATTCTTTTGCATGTCTTTGAACTTTTTTGTATTTTATTTATGTCTTTAAATATTTTATCTGTCTATAAATATGAGCACCATACTTCAGCTGTCTACTCCAGGTTCCCTCTAGCATATGTCTTAAACATCTCCAACATTAATGCTATCCATATGTAACATACTTCAAAGGTGCTTTAAACATTACCCGATAATGCTTATGAATTTCTAACAGCATTTATATGATCTGGTAATCTTCTTCTTTCAACACACCGGCCGTATCCCACCAAGGCGGGGTGGCCCAAAAGGAAAAACGAAAGTTCTCCTTTTACATTTAGTAATACGCATATAAAGGAGAAGGGGTTAATAGCCCCTTGCTCCGGGCATTTTAGTCACTTCTTACAACACGCATGGCTTACGGAGGAAGAATTCTGTTCCACTTCCCCATGGAGATAAGAGGAAATAAACAAGAACAAGAACTAGAAAGAAAATAGAAGAAAACCCAGAGGGGTGTGTATATATATGCATGTACATGTATATGTAGTGTGACCTAAGTGTAAGTAGAAGTTGCAAGACTTACCTGAAATCTTGCATGTGTATGAGACAAAAAAAAGACACCAGCAATCCTACCATCGTGTAAAACAATTACAGGCTTCTGTTTTACACTCACTTGGCAGGACGATAGTACCTCCCTGGGTGGTTGCTGTTTACCAACCTACTACCTAGGATGATCTGGTAATATATTTTTTTATTTCTTTATGATGCTGAGATGCTTTTTAAATTTTATCACAGTTCCCAATTTTCATGGGGCTTTTTTCAGTTTCACCTGTATCCATGGTACAGTGGTGGATTATGGCCCAGTTATGGTAATTAACCACAGTTGTAACTGATAATACAGCACAAGATATAAAAGTACACTCAGGGATTGTAGAGTGATAGGTATAGTGCCTGCCAACACTTCATTACCATTTAACCTGTATCATTAATGTGAGCTACCAGGATACTTTTTATTTTTTTTATATCTATATATTCTTCTTCTTTCAACACACCAGCCGTATCCCACCGAGGCAGGGTGGCCCAAAAGGAAAAAGGAAAGTTTCTCCTTTTACATTTAGTAATATATACAGGAGAAGGGGTTACTAGCCCCTTGCCCTTAGCATTTTAGTTGCCTCTTACAGCACGCATGGCTTACGGAGGAAGAATTCTGTTCCACTTCCCCATGGAGATAAGAGGAAATAAACAAGAACAAGAACTAGAAAGAAAATAGAAAACCCAGAGGGGTGTGTATATACATGCTTGTACATGTGTGTGTAGTGTGACCTAAGTGTAAGTAGAAGTAGCAAGACGTACCTGTAATCTTGCATATTTATGAGACAGACAAGACACCAGCAATCCTACCATCATGTAAAACAATTACAGGCTTTCGTTTCACACTCACTTGGCAGGACGGTAGTACCCCCCTGGATGGTTGCTGTCTAACAACCTACTACCTAATATCTATATTTTTTTTTTTTTTTTTTTTCAAAAAAAAAAAAAAAATAATAATGACTTGTACAGCCTAGAATTAGGATGTTACGTCTTAGACAAACTACTACTTCAGGGCATGGGGGAGGGGCAAATTCCTTGCTACAGCAAACAGGCTCTTGATCTAAAGAATTAGATTTCTTATCTCTTTTCTTCGATCAGATTTTTAAACCCCTCAACTCTCTCTCTCCTTTTGACCTCATCAAGAAAGTGATATCCCCTTTTTGAAATTCAGCTCCTAGAAAGAAAGGGAGAAGGAATCAGTATCAAACATTTTCTTAAATAAATTTTCTTGACATTGCTGAGATGGTCAGTCACTCCACCTGATGGAAACTGGATCATCTCAGGGCGTCAGATAACCTTCCAGTGGGGTCTGATGGCAGTACTACTGGCATTTGCCTGCAGATCCAGGAGTGGCAACAAATTGTATGACTCCTGGTGTTCTTTCTGATTCATCTGCCAACACACTTATTAAATGGAAAGATGACTGCAGTTAATGCTTTTGTCTAACCAAGAAGTTTTGTGAAGTCTTGCTCAGTCAGTTCTGGAGGTGTCATCCTGGTGTCATGCACCAGATAGTATGAGAGGTGGTTTTTGCCAAATAATAGCAAATAACCTGTTGCAGCAGAGGTGACTGTAGGTCAGGGTTGGTATGTGGTTTCTTATTTTGAATCCCCAGAGTGGGTTGCCCCCATTTTTTAACCTCATAATAAAGGTGACATTGGAGATGTCATGTCTGAAGGCAGTGCATGGTGGAAGTATTATGCAAAGAATTCATAGTCTGGAGATTAGGAGGAGGTTAGGGTTACTAAAAGAAATTACCCTAAAGAGCTGAGGAGAGGTTTTTTTAGATATTTAGATTAGAGAGGATGGAACAAAATAAGATGACTTGAGGGTGGATCAATCTGTATTTCAGGAAGGCAGGTAGGATTTGCTCTTGGAAAGGTTGGAGGGAGGGGTAAAGGAGGTTTTGTATATGAGGGGGCTTGACATTCAGGTGTGTGTGTGAGCATGTTAGATAGGAGTGCAGGTAAGTGGGTTTTATGCCTTGATGTGCTGTTGGAGTGTGAGCATGGTAACCTCTATGAAGGGATTCAGGGAAACCAGTTAGCAGGATTTGAGTCCTGAAGGTGGGAAGTACAATGCCTGTGCTCTAAAGGAGTGGCGGGGATATTTGCTGTTTGGAGGGACATCTAAACTGTAGTATCTGTGTGCCTCTGGCAAGACAGTGATAGTGTGAATGATGGTGAAAGTGTTTCTTTTTTGGGTCACCCTACCTATGTGGGAGATGGCTGGTGTTAAAAAAGCAAGTTTTTATTAAATTTTTATACCTTTTCTAAATATTTTTTAATGCAGTACTGTACTGCATACTGTATATATATCTGTGCACATTCAACTATGAAACATTTACACAGTTTGCATAAACCTATTTTCATATTGCTAAAATTAATTTACAATCAATAACTGTAAAGGTCTGACTACCCCCTAGAGGTGGCATTAACCAAAATAACATTGATTAGTATTATTTTCATATTCTCTTTATGCATTACCTTTAAAACATTAAATACAAAAATTCGTAGATTGAGTAGAACTATTAAAATATTATGGAACAGAAGTAAACTTTTAAGAGTAAGTCAGCAGCTACTAAATTTTTTATTTTAATTTGTTTGCTATAATGAATATTATTATTATAATCCTAATCAAGTGCTAAACCTGTAAGGTTCATACAGCTCTTTAATGAATAAATAAGCACAATACTGTCCTTGGAACAATTCACAAATAACTCACACATAGGAACTGAAACTTGTAACGACGTTCCAGTCAGACTGGACCATTAACTAATTATCTGAATATTTTTTTGCTATAATTCTTACTGATATTCCTCGTTTATTTTATTGACAAAGCAAGGATATGCTGTACTGTATTTGCCAAAAAAATATTTTAATAGGTGAAATGTTAAAAAATCTAGAAATCCCAGAGTTAATCTGGGTATGGTAATAATCTTTCAACTCACCTGCTGTATCCCACCACAGCAGGGTGACCTAAAAAAAAAGTTTTTCTTTTTAAATTTAGTAATTTATACAGAGGGGGGTAACTACCCTCTTGCTCCCTACATTCCTTGTACATACAAGAAATGAAAAAAACTTAAAATGTTGTTTGTTAATAATTTATGTTTAAAATAAAGAAGAATAATCTTACAGGACTGTCAGTTATGCAGTTTCACTCAGTGCTGGATTGTGTGTGTGAACCTCCACCATGTTCACCACTTGGAGTATACTCCACCACACTTGGTATTCCTTGCCATGATCATACAGTACTTGCATGACCAACTATTAGTCTGTTTTTCGTGGAGGACTGAAAATTGTCCAATTTAATATTTTGTTTTTTGGTGCCCAATTGTCATTGCAATTGTGGTGTATGCTAGCATTCTTTTTACTAGGAAGAGAATGACATAAATCATTTTTGTAGATAAACCTTCCACCCTCTTATATTTAAGAATATACAGTGTATGTATTGTGAATGTTTACACAGCCATGACTTTCGTCCAGTGTTTATAGCTTACTAGTAAGAGACTCTCGACACTCGATATTTCTCTGAATTTTTAAAGTAATGCTCCAGATTAAACCTATCGACAAAGCTTGCTTTCCCTTCTTAATACAGTAATTACAGGAATGTTGTAGGAAAAATATTTTATGTAATAAAGTACAGTGGTCCCTCGTTTTTCGTAATTAATCCGTTCCTGGAGGAGCTACTATAAACGAAATTTATGATTTGCGAATCAATTTTCCCCATAAGAAATAATGTAAATACAATTAATTACATGAAATATACATGTAGTACATAAACAGTACAATGGGAAATGATGAATGAAACATTAACAGCATAACACTTACCTTTATTGGAGATTCTTCTTAGTGTATGGGAGACTGGAGGAGGAGAGAGAGTGGATTGTTTATAGTTTGGAAGGGGAATATCCTTCCAGCAACACCTCAGATACCAATTGCTTTTCTGGGGTTGCTTGTCTTCTCTGTTTCTTAATGCCACTAGGACCACCTTGAGAGTCACTGGAGTCCTGTCTCGCAAAATAACTGTGGAGAGAGCTCTGTTTCTGGCATCTCTAACACTTCCCTAAAATGGCCCAAGACTTTGTCACTGTACATGTTGCCAACATGGCTTGCAACAACCTTGTTAGGGTGATGTTTCTCCGTAAAGCTTTCCATCTTACCCCACATAGTAAAAATCTCTTTAATTTCTGAAGAAGGCACCTTCTTCCATCTCTCTTCCTCCTCCTCTGCAGCAAGATTCTGAGCTGCGATGTGTTGCTCTTCCTGCTGAAGCTCTTGCAGCTCCTCAGTGGTGAGCTCTTCGTTGTGGTCTTCCACCAATTCTTCCACATCCTCCAAACTCACATCCAACCCCATGGAACTCCCCAGTGCCACAATTGATTTTACAACAGACATAGGCTCATCAGGGTCAGTCCCAAACCCTTCAAAATCCCTCTTGTCGACACACTCTGGCCACAATTTTCTCCAGGCAGAGTTCAAAGTCCTGGTAGTCACTCCCTCCCAAGCCATACCTATAAGGGTTATGCAATGGAGGATGCTGAAGTGTTCTCTCCAAAATTCCCTTAGGGTCAAGTGAGTGTCTGTGGTCACAGTCAAGCACCTGTGAAACATTGCTTTTGTGTAGAGTTTTTTAAAGTTTGCAATAACCTGCTGGTCCATGGGTTGGAGGAGAGGAGTGGTATTCGGGGGCAAGAACTTTACTGTGATGAACCCAAACTCCTCGAAAATTAGGTCATCCAAGTTTGGAGGATGAGCAGGTGCATTGTCCATTACTAGCAGGCACTTGAGATCCAATTTCTTTTCCAGGAGATACTCTTTCACACTAGGGCCAAACACTTCAATTGAACCACTCGACGAAAATTTCCCTCGTGACCCATGCCTTACTATTAGATTTCCAAAACACACACAATTTACTCTTCATAACATTGTTTTTCCTGAACACTCTGGGATTTTCAGAATGGTACACTAGTAATGGCTTCACTTTGAAATCCCCACTAACATTAGCACAAAACATTACGTCAGCCTGTCTTTCATAGGCTTGTGTCCAGGCATTGCCTTTTCCTCTTGTGTAATGAAGGTCCTCTTTGGCATTTTCTTCCAAAAGAGGCCTGTTTCGTCACAATTGAACACTTGTTCAGGTTTCAGTCCTTCAGCCTCTATGTACTCCTGGAATTCATGCACATATTTTTCAGCCGCCTTGTGGTCCGAACTGGCAGCCTCACCATGCCTTACCACACTGTGTATGCCAGTACGGTTCTTAAATCTCTCAAACCAGCCTTTGCTGGCCTTAAATTCACTTACATCACCACTATTTGCAGGCAATTTCTTTACCAAATCGTCATGCAACTGCCTAGCCTTTTCACAAATAATCGAAGTCATAAGAGTATCTCCTGCTAATTGTTTCTCATTTATCCACACCAATAATAACTTCTCAACCTCTTCAAGTACTGGTGATCTCATTTTTGTCAGCATAGTTTTCCCCCTTTGCAACAACAGCATCCTTGATTTCCTTTTCTTGGCCACTATGGAACATAAGGTTGTGTAGGGTTTCTTATACATCCTGGCCAGTTCGGCCACACTTGTACCACTTTCATATTGTTCAGTGATGGTTTTCTTAAATTCAATCGTATTTCTCACCTTCTTTACCACAGGCTTGGCACTAGGAGCTTTCTTTGGAGCCATGGTAGCTTATTTAGTACTTGCAAGCACTAAAATAAATGGAATATTATGAAATATTTCGCTGGAGCATGTGAGGGGACCTTCGCTCACTGGTAAACAATGCCAGACTGGCTGCCGCCACAGCTCACGCCGTGGGTACGCGTCATGGACGAACTACAACTCGCGAGTCAACTTATGAAAAGCGAGTCCATGTTTATATGAAAATACCCCTATGATTGGCGAAATTTACGATTGCCGGAAACTACGAAAAGCGAGGGACCACTGTACATAGTGTGTATAGTGAATATTTAATATTAATGTATAGACTAATAATTTGTTTTAAGGTTTGTATAAATATTTTAAGTCATATTAAGATGGTTTAGCATTACCTTTGCAGAATTTAATACTATGTTCAGCATATATATTATTACCAGTTTTTTTTTTTTTTTTTGCAAATGCTACTCTTTTGCTCATTGATTGATAAGGTGATCTATAACTAAGCCCTAAACCCACAAGGGTAATGCAGCACTGCAAGGTAATCTATAATATGATACAATACTACACTGGCACTTAAGATTTGCCTTTGGTAAAATATATAACAATGCATGGAGATTCTTGAATCCAAATTGAAAACTGATAGTACTATACCCAGTAATTCTGTTTATCCAAATTTGAATAAACGAGGATTTACTCTCATAACAAAAAATGGATGCCCACTTGGGGTTGGTAACAGTAAATTAAATGGAAGCAAATACATGGGTGTGCAGTTTGAAATGGAAGATATAGTATAATGAGAAAATATTAATAAAATCTGAAGGCACAGATGAAAATAAAAATTTACAATTACAGTGAGGTTAGGGAAATATTAAAGATATTGGCCGAGAATATATAAAGATTCCAATCATTCAAATACAGTACTCTATATTATAAAGGTCAAAATAAGGCATTATGAATATAGTTTAATGAACTACCTTCAATTTCCTCATTGTTGAATTTTCTTTAGATAAAATTTAGTACATTGTACTCAGTCTGAATTAGGTCATGCTGGATGATATATTCCACTAGTATATTTTATATTAACATATGCAATTTATCTCTTGCAGAAAGTAATAGAGGAACATCCGTCCTTTATATTCTCTGGGCATGAGCATGAGTCCTTAAATTTTGCTGGCACTAAAGACAAAGCACAAGCTCAAGAATTTCATGTTCTCAAAGAAGAAATGAAAATTTGGAATTTTGATACAACTCAAGATAAGCTTCAGAAGTGACAGTTTTCCCCCCTGCTCCTACAGGATGGGCAAGCAGCGGTATGGCTATGGAACAGCGGTTATTGGTAAGGAAATAAAGTTTTGAAATTAATTTATACTTAATTTGTATGCACAGTAAACCCTGTCATAACATGCAGGTTAGCCCTTTCATTGCCCAGACCCCTGATGTGAGAATTCCTCTCACTGTCCAATAGTTTTGCTGTTTGGAGTGACATCTGAACTGTTGTATCTGCAAACACAGTGGTTATGTGTGAATTGGTTCACCCTACCTCTGTGTTGAAAAAATAAAATATATATACAGTTATCTGATTGTAATGTCAGCACACTTCAGGTAAAACATTTGAGTGAATGTATTTTCTTCTTTGGGCCACCCTGTCTTGGTGGGAGATGGCTGTCGAGTTAAAAAAATTACTATTTTGTTGAAACCGTTCTTTTTTAACATGCTGATTGTCTCCCACTGAAGCAGGGTGACCCAGAAAACAAAAACACTTTCACCATCATTCACACATAATCAATGTCTTTGCAGAGGCGCTCAGATTATTTAGATGTCACTCCAAACGGCAAATATCCCAAACTCCTCCTTTAAAGTGTAGGCATTGTACCTCCCATTTTCAGGACTTGAGTCCAGCTAACTGGTTTCCCTATATCCCTTTAAAAAATGTTACCCTGCTCACACTCCAACAACTATCGAGTCCAAAAAACCATTCATCTCCACTCAACACACACTCACATACTTGACGTATGTCCGAGCCCCCCTCCCTCCATCCTTTCCTAGGATGACCTACCCCTCTTCCCCTCCACTACAGATTTATACACCCTCCAAGTCACCCTCTCTAAATGACCAAACCACCTCAGCAGTCCCTCCTCAGCCCTCTGAATAATACTTTTAGTAACTCCACACCTAATTTCCACACTATGAATTCTCTGCATAATATTCATTCCACACATTGCTATATAAATTATTTCCTGTATCCTAATTTCACACAATTATTATAATCATGGGGAAGTGCTAAACCCATAGGATTATACAGTACCTGTGGAGGGGGAGTGGGAGGTATTCAGGCTTAATTCAGGGAACTGGAACACAGATCCAATTCCCTAGATCAAGAGCCCCTCACGAGCATCAAGGAACCTCCCTTGAGGGGACCATTATCTGTAATCATTGATTATTTATATAACTTGTTAAGATTTTAGTGAGGTAACAAAAATTAATTTCTATTCAATTTGTAAATATTCACTGCGTTAAACTTTTGCAGAGAAGTCCGGCCTTGTGCACTACACCGTCATGTGGTTACCGTCTCGCTTTACACAGTTGTGGCTGTACTTGATTGCTCTTGGTGTCATCTTTCTTATTTTTTTACCACCTATTCTATGCATCATCAAGGTTTATGTTATAAATTTTTATCATCTTTGTGGAGTTACCTTAGGATTCGGACCTAAATATCATCGTGTGTAAGCACTATTTACGTTGTATGCATGCACAATAAGTAAATTTACACATGTAAGATTCCTGCAACCACAAACAAACAAGCACACACAGGGTATATGTTGTAAATATGTAATGGCACAAAGAAGCATACTGAAAGACTAAAGCAAATTAATATGTAAACTGTAGAAAGTGTACACGCCATAATATGAAGCTTATGTTCAAAAGTAGGGCCGAGGCAGAAAAAGTGACCTCATGGTAAGGATAGTAATATTATTATAATCAAAAAGAAGCGCTAAGCCACAAGGACTATACAGCGAAGGGTAGTAATAGCATCATAGTTTTTATTGACTTGTTGAAATTGGGTCATGATGCAGTGGATCCATCTCAAGGATTTTGCGCTTGTACTGAAATTCTTTATAATGAAAGTATATTTACAATGAATTATTGTTTATTATTGGAAATGTAGGTTGTGCACACTATCTAATTGTACAATTACTCTAGTGTTTAAATTTCTAGTTGTTTATCCTATGTATCATTGGTTACAAGAGCTGTATGGTCCATAAGGGTAATGCAGCACTTGGGAAATGGAGGCACTAAAGTTTGATTCAAGGGAGGAAAGGTCTAATTCCTTGAATCAAGAGCCACTCACTAGCATCAAGGCTTCTTTCTTGATGGGTTTGATTGATAACAGCTTTTGCAAGTAAACTTGTATAAATCAGGCACATCAAGGGTTATTAAATTTTTTTAAACGTGATAAAAGTTTGGTTTTGTTACGGTAATTAAAATATTTGTGCAAGCAACGATCACCTTTTTACTAGTCTTGCACATATGTAAGTTGGTACTGGTTCAGTATACTTTCAGTATAGCACCAGTATAATCTACTCTTCACTATTCAATGTGCATTCAGTTAAATAGCTAATATTTTACCTTTTTTTTTTTTCCAAACTGATTTTGTATGACGAGAATCTCTTATATAAAATTTTAAGATGCTAATGAAGTAATTAAACATTACTGGAATGCTGGTGGAATTTTTAGGTTTTCATTGGATTATATTTTAATGTATTATACTTGCAACAGTAAAATAGCAATATATTAAAAGATTGTTTTAATTTTTCTTTAAAATTTTTTAGCTCAATGCAGATTTTTTTTTTTTTCCAACTAGTCATCTTCTACCCAAGTAGGACCTTTAACCCTTTCAGGGTTTCAGCCGTACTAGTACGGCTTATGAGCCAGGGTTTTTGACGTACTAGTACGCCTAAATTCTAGCGCCCTCAAATCTAGTGAGAAAGCTGGTAGGCCTACATATGAAAGAATGGGTCTATGTGGTCAGTGCGCGCAGTATAAAAAAAAAAAAAAAAAAAAAAAAAAAAAAAAAAAATCCTGCAGCACACATTGCGTTATAAGAAATAAAGACTTTGACCGTGTTTTTGGATTAAAACTGACTTTGCACTGTATTTTGGTATGGTATTTATTGTTGTATTCTAGTTTTCCTGGTCTCATTTTATAGTGGTCAGTCGTCACGTGAGGTCACAGACCCTGAGCTGCTTTGGGGATTAGCGTGGACGGTTACAAAGCATGGCTTGCTTCTGCAGTGTTTTAAAATCTGAGGTTGGAGAGTTGAAGGAGGAGGTCTTGCTTCTCCAGGAGGAGATTAGGAGGCTGAAGGTCCACCTCAATGGGCCTGGGAGAGAGTGTGAGGTGGTTGGAGATGTGGGGAATGAGGCTTCTAGCAGTGAGGTGCAGTCTGTCTCTCACTGTGAGGAGGCTGTAGGTGGGGAGGTAGCAACGGCTACCAGCAGTGAGGTGCAGTCCAGCACCTGCTACAAGTGGCGAGTTGTTCACAGTAATGGGAGGCGCATCAGAGTAAGGAAAGTTAAGAGTGAAGATCTGAAGGTAGGAAATCGCTTCTCTGTTCTTCAGGATGAATGTACTTCAGTGGCCAGTGAAGGTAAGGGTACTACTGCCCCTGCTAATGAAGGTAAGCGCATTCTTGTGGTTGGTGACTCTCAGGTAAGATATGTTGATCGTGCTTTTTGTAATAGGAATAAGAAGATGAGAGATAGAGTGTGCTTCCCTGGAGCTGGTGTTGGGGACATTGTCAACAGGCTGGATAATATCATGTCAGTAATGGGAACAAGCCCATTATCTGTCTTAGTGCTGGTGGAAATGATATTGGGAAGGGTAGGAGAGAAGAGCTGCTAGATAAGTACAGGTCAGCTATAGATTTCATTAAGTCTAAGGGAGGGATCCCAATCATATGTAGCATCTTGCCTAGAAGGGGAGTAGGAAATGAATGGTTGTCTAGGGCAATTGGTGTAAATTGCTGGCTAGACAGATACGCAAGGAACTTCAATCCCATTCATTGACAACTGGAACAACTTTTATGGCAAACATGATATGTATGCAAGGGATGGGGTACATCTCTCTGGGGCAGGGGTGGTAGCACTTGCAGACTCGATTGAGAAGGCCATTGGTGAAATGCCTATGATTTTAAACTGATGGAAGATAGAGGTATGGGTGTGTGTGGGAAACAAGCAGGTTGCAACACTAGGGTTGGAAACAGTAAATGTATAAAAGGCATTCAGCATGAAGTTATAATAAAGACAATAGAACAGGTCAGCAAACAAAGGGGGACAGCAGAGGGCAGCAAGGGACTAGCTCCCTTAAGGTTTACTATACTAATAGCAGGAGTGTTAGAAAATAAGATAGATGAGCTAAGATTAATTGCAAGTGCAGGAAACATAGATATTATGCTATAACAGAGACCTGGCTCAATCTGAAAGATAGAGAGATGCCCTCTGAATGTCACATACAAGGCTATAAATTATTCCACACTGACAGGGTCAACAGGAAAGGTGGTGGAGTAGCGATGTATGTCAGAGACAATTTAAATTGTTGTGTTAGACAAGATATTAAAATTTAGAAGCGTCAGCCACTGAATCTGTTTGGTTACAGCTTCTCGAGGGCCGAGAAAAACTAATTTTGGGTGTGATTACAGGGCCCAAATCTTGATAGGAGTGCAGTAAACTTCTAGGGGACAAAATTTTCGTAAGGCATCTACACACAAAAATGTTGGCTAATGGGAGATTTCAACTATAACAGATTGACTGGAGCAATTTGACAGGAATTTAGAGTCGGGTGACTTTCTTGATACATCCAGGATTGTTTTTAAAACAGTTTGTGACAGAGCCAACTAGGGGAAATACCTCCTTGACTTGGTTCTTGCCAGTAGGGAAACACTAATTAATAATCTTGAGGTAATGATGAGCTTGGGGAGAGTGATCACAAATCACTCATTTTTTTAACTATCATGGAATTCCCTATAATAATGGCAATCAAGTCTCCGTCCCTGACTTTCGCTGGCTGATTTCATAGGGCTGAAAAAAATTTCTTAGGTGGGCTGAACTGGGAAAGACCTGACTAAGGGTCAGGTAGGTGGTGATGGTCCGATATGATGCTTTTCCCGGGCATAGTTTTAGCTGCTCAGTCAAAAATTTTGTTCCAAATAGGGAAATCAGATCAAACAAAAATGATCCTAAATGGATGAACAAAAGATTAAAATATCTGATTGGTCAAAAAGAGAGGCATATATAGGCAAATCAAAAGAGGAGAGGGGCAATTAAGAAATCGATAAATTCAGTTAAAGAGAGAAATAAAAAAGGGAATTAGAAAAGCAAAAAGAGATTATGAGGTTAAAGTTGCAAGAGAATCGAAGACTAACCAAAAGGATTCTTTCAGGTATACAGAAGTAAGATCAGGGACAAGATAGGCCCACTCAAAAGTTCCTCGGGTCAGCTCACTGACAGTGATAAGGAAATGTGTAGAATTTTTAACACATACTTCCTCTCAGTTTTTACACAGGAGGATACCAGCGATATTCCAGTAATGACAAATTATGTAGAACAGGACGATAATAAACTGTGCACTATTAGGGTCACAAGTGACATGGTCCTTAGGCAAATAGATAAATTAAAACCTAACAAATCCCCAGGCCCTGATGAACTGTATGCAAGGGTTCTAAAGGAATGTAAAGAGGAGCTTAGCACACCTTGGCTAATCTTTTCAACATATCACTACAAACTGGCATGGTGCCAGATAAGTGGAAAATGGCAAATGTGATACCTATTTTCAAAACAGGTGACAGGTCCTTAGCTTCGAACTATAGACCAATAAGCCTAACCTCCATAGTGGGAAAATTTATGGAATCAATAATTGCCGAGGCAGTTCGTAGCCACCTTGAAAAGCATAAATTAATCAACGAATCTCAGCATGGTTTTACAAAGGGGCGTTCCTGCCTTACGAATTTATTAACTTTTTTCACTAAGGTATTTGAGGAGGTAGATCATGGTAATGAATATGATATTGTGTATATGGACTTCAGTAAGGCTTTTGACAGGGTCCCACATCAGAGACTATTGAGGAAAATTAAAGCACATGGAATAGGAGGAGAAATTTTTTCCTGGATAGAGGCATGGTTGACAAATAGGCAGCAGAGAGTTTGCATAAATGGGGAGAAATCAGAGTGGGGGAAGCGTCACGAGCGGTGTTCCACAGGGGTCAGTGTTGGGCCCCCTGCTGTTCACAATCTACATAAACGACATAGATGAGGGCATAAAGAGCGACATCGGCAAGTTTGCCGATGACACCAAAATAGGCCGTCGAATTCATTCTGACGAGGACATTCGAGCACTCCAGGAAGATTTGAATAGACTGATGCAGTGGTCGGAGAAGTGGCAGATGCAGTTTAATATAGACAAATGCAAAGTTCTAAATGTTGGACAGGACAATAACCATGCCACATATAAACTAAATAATGTAGATCTTAATATTACGGATTGCGAAAAAGATTTAGGAGTTCTGGTTAGCAGTAATCTGAAACCAAGACAACAGTGCATAAGTGTTCGCAATAAAGCTAATAGAATCCTTGGCTTCATATCAAGAAGCATAAATAATAGGAGTCCTCAGGTTGTTCTTCAACTCTATACATCCTTGGTTAGGCCTCATTTAGATTATGCTGCACAGTTTTGGTCACCGTATTACAGAATGGATATAAATTCTCTGGAAAATGTACAAAGGAGGATGACAAAGATGATCCCATGTATCAGAAACCTTCCCTATGAGGATAGACTAAGGGCCCTGAAACTGCACTCTCTAGAAAGACGTAGAATAGGGGGGATATGATTGAGGTGTATAAGTGGAAGACAGGAATAAATAAAGGGGATGTAAATAGTGTGCTGAAAAATATCTAGCCCCAGACAGGACTCGCAGCAATGGTTTTAAGTTGGAAAAATTCAGATTCAGGAAGGATATAGGAAAGTACTGGTTTGGTAATAGAGTTGTGGATGAGTGGAACAAACTCCCAAGTACCGTTATAGAGGCCAGAACGTTGTGTAGCTTTAAAATAGGTTGGATAAATACATGAGTAGATGTGGGTGGGTGTGAGTTAGACCTGATAGCTTGTGCTAACAGGTCGGTTGCCGTGTTCCTCCCTTAAGTCAATGTGACCTGACCTGTCTAGGTTGGGTGCATTGGCTTAAGCCGGTAGGAGACTTGGACCTGCCTCGCATGGGCCAGTAGGCCTTCTGCAGTGTTCCTTCGTTCTTATGTTCTTATGTTCTTATATTACAGAAATTGAGATGATTTTGACTTCTTTGTAAAACCAAAGCACCTTGAAATTTGAGCTCAAAGTAGCAGAAATGTTCGATTTTTTACCAAAGTTCAAAAGTAAACAAATCATGCTATGCGTCCAATACACGTCAACTGGTGAGTAATATTCTTTCACAAGTGCGCTGATATTTATACAATTTCTACACCAATGCAGTAGTCTGCATAACAGTAAATCTTCTATTTTTTTTTTTGTGAGAATAAAAATTCAAAGTGGAAAGCAAAAGAATGCAAGAGGGGCATGGGGACGTGACTAATGAACAGAGGAAATGTTATTTTAGTGCCAGGAATGTCTTTGTTTATTCTGAACCCTATTCGGAAATTGGCATCTTGAAATTTGTGAAATTGCTAAATTCTGACCACTGTATTGGATAGTTGAAATCGGTAAATGGGTGATTTTTTGTACTCATTCGATAGAAAAAATGGAGTTCTAGCGAAATAGTTATG